GATGCATTTTTTAAGCATGATATTGCTAAGGAACCAACTCGTGATATAATGACTTTCCCTTTGCTTGCTTCTTACATCGCTTTCTGGTATTGACCAGGTGTGTGGAAAATGTGCGTTGAGACACTCGTGTAAGTTTGAGAACAAGGATATGTGGAGTCGTTTTAAAGTCACGGAGCTTCATCTGCATCATGTGATGAAGATTATCACGCTCTATGCCTTGGGACCGATACCCGATGGACTGGTCGTTCCAGCAGAAGTTAAGGAATCAGTTAATCGGTTGCTGCTCGAGGTTGTCAACCTTAGCAAGTCTCGTTCCGCCAAGCACGACTCGGACGATGTTGGCATTCAATTCACTTCCAACTAGACTAAATTATTTCCTCCGCCCTCAGTTTATCTGCTTTTATAGGTAAGTAAGGTTAAGGCCTATATGGGACGATTACTAGGTTGTTGGATTTTATTGGACTATAACTTTTGTGGGTGGGAGTATAATGTTAAGGCCTCCGCGGTTCAATTATTCAATTTCATTTTTTTAATATCTGCTGCAAGTAAAAATGAAACTTTTTTGAAATATTTGCACTAAATAGTACTAAAACTTAAGTCATTTCTTTAAATAACACTTAAATTGTTTTATTCCCTAATTAGCACTTAATAATGTCCAGTGATGGTCAATATTTACTTGAATAATGACTAATAGATAATGACTAAAAGTGCTACATTGAGAAAAAAACACATGTGATACTATTTAAAGAAAGTCATTATGTTTTAGTACTATTCATATAAATCTACAAGGGTTAGAAGAAATTGAAAAGATTTGGAAGAAGCGAGAAAGAATTAGAAAAAAATGTTGGACAATGTTGAATAAAAATAAAAGAATAAAAAAGTATTCGATTAATAGATCAACCACTTGTGATAAATGTGTAAGAAAATTAATTCGCAATAAAAAAGAATCCATTTGTGCTCGTGTTTAGGTTGTTGGTATGTTATAAATTTAAATATATTTCGCATGGTATTATTGTATATTCATCATACTTTCTTCGTTCCAAATTCATGTACACTATACGAACAACGTGCAAAATTTTATATTTTAAAAATGATTTAGCTATAAATTAGTGAAATATTACATATTTTTAAAATTAAATCAAAACTTTTACAAAATACGTCATAAAAATATTTTATTGTATCAAATGAGAAATGAAAATGTATTAGTTAACAAAATTTATTGATAGATTCAATTAGTAAGAGTGTAAATCATTTTGAGATGAAGATATGTAAATACTTTTTCTAAATCGTTAGAAAAAAATAAAAGACATTGAAAAATAATAGAAATAGTTGGTAGAAACAAGAAGGGAGAAGAAATTGAAAAGAATTAATCCTAAATGGATCCTAAAATGATATGCCATAATATGTGACGGGCTGATGACGGGCCTATATAAATCGTAATAAAAAATGTTGGGCTTGGCCCCACACCCGGTCAGGCCCGTTCACTGCAAAATTGCTGGATGGAACCCCAAAAACCCCAACGAAAACCCCTGCAAGCATCCTCCTCCGCATTTCTCAGAGAGCTCAAAACCCTCTGAAAATGGCTTTCCTTAGAAGCATTACTCGTACTCGGAGTTTGTTCTCCGCCGTTCAGAAGCTCCGATTCCGTCCGGATTCTCCCAGTCTCGGCCACATTTCGCGTCTTCAAGAAGTTCAGCGGAGATCGATTACAATCTCCAGTCTCTTCAGCTCCAAAATTGATTCGGATTCGGACAAGGTTGGAGCCGGCGCCGTCGAGGAAGGCCATCGTGCGAGGTGTGAATTGACAGATCTGGAAGAAGATTCCAGGTTTTTGCTGGAGAATCGAGGAATAGAGGAGGTGTCTAAGAACGACGACAACGACGATGATGATTTAGGAAACCCATTTAAAATTCCATTAAAAAGATCAAAGACACCAGAAGTCCTGAAGCCACTATCGCCGGAGATGGCTACGCTTGTGACTCACTTGTATGAGGAAGGGTACTTCAAAGATGCAAACTTTGTTGATCACAAGAAGCTCGACATTACTTGCTTTGAGCACAACTACGCTCGGAATCACATAAAGCGTGCCGTTGTCCAGTTTGGGAGGGACAAACAAGAAATTGCCAAGTGAGAACTAAAACTTCACTTCCTGCATTCAATTATTCATATGCATATATATATAATGATTGATTGAATGAATGATCATGTGCTGCTTATTTGGATATGTTTTCAAAGATGATTCATGCATCTTACTTTACAAGCAATACAAAACATGTATATATACATCAAACGGAACAATAGACGAAAGATGAGGAACACATGTACTCTACAGTCTACAAGGACGGATAATCTATAGGATGAAGTATTTCAGGGAAGGTTTTTGTGCAGGACAATCTATGGAAAGTTATTCCATGAAGAGGAGGAGTACAAATTACCCCGTGAGGAGGTGCAAGAGGTTAATAGTAGAGGCTATGAGATTTAGATGTAAATTTAGTGGGAGTTGGAAGTGATTAGAGTTGACTTGCAACTTTAGTATCATGACCTAAGATAGAAACTTCTTGAAGTCCAGGATTAGGGTGGTTAGTTAATCCTATTGGCCTTAGCCTGCATTTCCTACATGTGTGCTTTTTATCTCTTAGTTTGTAGCTTCTGAATGTGTGATTTGTGAAATGCGACATGATTTTTTTTAAGTTTCTGTATGTGTGCTTGTTTGGTTTATGATCTTATTTTGTTTGTGCTTCTTTCGTTTCTCGTTCTGCTCTTATATTCTCTAGCTGATGGTCTCTTTTCGAACAGCTTGTCTACTATTAGGGTAGGAGTAAGGTCTTCACACACACACACACACACACAACACTTGACCGCACTTTATAAGGTTTTACTAGATATGTTGTTGTTGTACTGCATAGTTTTGTTAATCAACATGTTTGCTCAGGTTGCTTCCTGCTAAAGACTTGAAGAAGGTGGCTCGCTTTGGTTGCCCTTCTGTTGTGACGAAGGGTGTACATTCTGCTAAACTTTTGCGCAGGTTTTACAAGATTCCGGAAGACACGGTGAGTTTACTTCATATGGTTTGCATGCTTTGTACCCAACTCAACCATAAGCTCATGCTGCGATTTTCTCTAACAAATAAAATGACTTTCCCCTTGCCTTCTTACGGAGTGCATCGTTTTTTTCTGGTATTGGCCAGGTATGTATTAAATGTGCTATAAGAGAGTCGTGTAAGTTTGAGTGCCAGGATTTGTTGCCTGTTAAAGTCCCAAAGCTTCAACTGCATAATGTGATGAGGGTTATCGCGCTCTATGCCTTGGGACCAATACCCGAGGAACTGGTTGTTCCAGCAGAAATTATGGAATCGGTTAACCGGTTGCTTCGGGAGGTTGTCAACCTTAGCAAGATTCGTTCTGTGAAAAGTGAATCGGATGGCGTGGGCATTCCAACCACTTCCAACTAGACTGAATCATTTCCCCCGCCATCAGTTTCTGTTTTTTGTAGGTAAGGTCAAGGCCTCTATGGGACATTTACTAGGTTGTTGTTGGGGTTTTTTTTTGAATGATCTTAGTACTGACAACTTTTGCAAAATCTATTTTACAAAGCTTGCAAACAATTTAGGTTGGTGAAAATGGTGGAAACCAGCTGAAAAGTATGACAACTTGTGCATTTCCCCCAACTTTAGAATTGTTAAAATCTAGCAACCCGGTTCGATTGACACCGTGTGCCAATGTCATACTATGACACCATTGGTTCATTTGAACATCATAGGACTACGGTGCTTCGTTTGAAAAATTGACAGTTCATAACCCCATCCCGCACCTGACTAATTTGTGGTGGATTTTACAGCTTATTTGCAGCTTAGTAGTTCAAAAAAATCAATTCAAAATCTATCGATCTCATTTTACTAAATGTTCCAAAGCAAAGCTTCTTTTTAAGGAAATTATATTGATATTCATATTAATGGTAGAGTATTTCGAATCTCACTTATGCGCAATTTTAATTTAATTAATCCTTTTTTACATTTCAGAAATTATTTATTTAATTATCCTAACTTGTTGCCGCATCATGTCATCCAATTGCCTAATTTTATCAATTTTATGTCATTTTTATCAATTGCCTGATTTTTATTAATAAGTTTATTTGATAAATATTTCTCTCTGCTTACAAATTAGTCAGAATTATTCACTTTGGGGTGTAAATGTTTTTTAACTTATAAGTTACTTTGTAGTTAGTAACGTTTTTCCCTATGCTCATAGGTTGATTTATAAGAAACAAAATAAGTAACTCTTACCTATTACCTTAGGTTCACTTTTTTTTATTTTTCTGTTTTAACCAAATTATTTATAAAATTATTTCTAACTTTTTATTAATATCCACAAATGACTAATGTCATTTACATCACCTTACAAAACATACTTCAATACACAATTTTCAAAATTAAAACTAGCAGCAATAAGTTACTCTTTAATACAAGTAAGAACTAACTACCTTTTGGCTTTAATTAAAAATTCGAAGAAGATGGAGGCATTAATTTAATCTTTCTTCTTCGTCTTTTTTAAAATAAAAGCAAAAAATATAAATTTAATTCTTATAAATTTAACGAATTTTATCTTTCTTCTCTCTAAAATGTTTTTTAATGAATTAACTCTGTAAAAAAATTTACAAATAGTTCTCCTAATGAATTAATTAATTCTTCTGATCGAGTTGATACACTCCCGTGTTATAATCATGTACCGAGTAATTAAGTTTTAAAATAGGGAGTATGTAATTAATCCTAAATATGTAATGAAATGATCAAAATATACTAAAATATAAGTTTTATGTTTTTATTTCCGAAATAAGAGTTAAAATGCATTTACAATGTCAATCATGATCATATACATTACGAAAAGTTATTGTGATAAATCTATATACAGTGTCAAAAGTACTGTAAAATATCAATATACATTACCATGTGACACATAAGTGACATAACTATAAAAAGATAGAGCTTCTATTTGGTACATTCTCGGTGTTTTACTTATATTTAGAATGATTTTTTAGAGAGAAATAAATATCAACACAAATGGCAATATATATGATACATTTTCGGCAATACCATTTTAGAGTAATTGAATATTTATTTCACATATGTTTTTAGCTTAGTTGTAGATTTTTTTACTTTAGTTGAAAACAATATTGTGTTTTTTTAATCAATGCAATTAAAATTATCAATATTATTTTATGCATCTCATAAAAAAGTTAGAGAAATGAATTAATTAAAAAAATTTAGAGGGCTCAAAAGCCCTGCAAGCATATTTCTTAGAGGGCTCAAAACCCTCCAAAAATGGCTTTCCTCCGAAGCAGTCGTTCTCAGAGTTTGCCCTCCGCCGTTCAAAAGCTCCGATCCCATTCCGCTTCTTCCAATGTCGGCCGGATTTCGCGTCTTCCCGAAATTCATCGGAGATCGATTTCATTTTCCAGTCTCTTCCGCTCCAAAATTGATTCTGATTCGGACAAGGTTGACGTTGTCGCCGAGGAGGAGAAGAAGAAGAAACCGCTGGATATCTTCTACAGAGAAGCCGTCGGGATTGTTCAAGATCCTAGCCACGGCGGGGACGCGGAGGTGAGCCATCCCGCGAGGTGTGAATTGACAGATCTGGAAGAAGAGGTCAGGGTTTTGCAAGAGAAGCGAGAAATTGCGATGCAGGAAAAGATTGAGAGAAGAAAAATGGAAATACAGAAGGTGTCTAAGAAGGATGATGATTCTGGAAACCAATCTAAGGTTTATAATCTGCACAAACTGTTTGTAAAAGTGCCATCGAAAAGCTCAAAGGCACCGGCAGTTAAGAATCATATGATCGGGAAGACACTATCGCCGGAGATGGCCGAGCTTGTGACTCACTTGTATGAGGAAGGGTACTTCAAAAATGCAAACTTTGTTAATCACAAGAAGCTTGACATTACTTGCTTTGAGCAGAGCTACGCTTGGGAATACATCAAGCACGCCGTTAGAAAATTTGCAGAGGACAAACAAGAAGTTGCCAAGTGAGTACTAAAATTCCACTTCGTTTACTTATTTGGATATGTTTCCTGCACAATTTATACTCATGTTCAACAGCTTGAAGTTTCATAGATGAGGATGTGTGGTGCTACAAGGATGGATTATATTTCGAATGAAGCCTTTTAATTTGGGAAAGGGTGTGATTTGTTCCTCTCTATGATAAGCTGTTGGAAGGTAGATTGAAGTGATTTGGGAGTGTGGTAAGGAGAGATATTAGTGCTCATCTAAGTAGGTGTGAGGCTTGTGGTTTGGGCCGTGTCATGACGGGTATTGAGGGGTAGAGGTAGACCCAGTTAGAATTGAAAGTGATTAGACAGGATTTACAACTTAGAGAATGTTTCTCTGTGCTGGTGCTTATTGACTTATTGTTGATGAGTAGTTTTTGACTTATAAGCCGCTTATAAGTACAGAGGAACACGACATCAACTGACTTACTCCGTATTAGTTAAAAATAGCTTATAAGCAATTTTGACTAACTTATAAGCACAAAGAAACACAACTTAGCATATTGAAGATATGGCCTTAGCTTGGGATGTTTGGAGGTCAAGGATTAGGGTGGTTTGATAGACCTTTAGGGCTTGGCGTGTGCTTTCTTTATCTCTACAGCTTTGTATGTGTGCTTTCATTGCTTTGTGATTGAGTTTTTTTAGTTTGTGTGTGTGTGTGTGTGTGTTTTTTGTTTGTGCTCTTATTTTGTTCATGTCACTTTCATATATTGTTCTGCTCTTGTGTTTTTGGAGCCGGATGCCTCATGGAAATATCTTCTATACTTTTCAAGTAGGGGTAAGATATGTTATTGTACTGCACATAGTTTAGTAAATCAACATGTTTATGCAGGTGGCTGTCTGCTGAAGACTTGAAGAAGGTGGCCCTCTTTGGTTGCCCTTCTGTTGTGAAGAAGGATGTATATTCTGCTAAATTGTTGCGTAGGTTCTTCAAGATCCAAGAAGACACAGTGAGTTTACTTCATATAACGAAGCATGATATGATTATTACCTTTCTTTGCTTGCTTGATTCTTATATGAGTAGCTTTCTGGGGCATTGTTGATCAGGTGTGTGGAAAATGTGCTTTGAGAGACTCATGTAAGTTTGAGAATAAGACTATGTGGAGAGGTGATGAAGCCAAACAGCTTTATCTGCATCATGTGACGAGGATCATCACGCTCTATGCCTCGGAACCAGTACCTCAGGAACTGGTTCTTACGCCAGAACTTAAGGAATCAGTTAACCGGTTGCTCCGGGAGGTTATCAACCTTAGCAAGACTTGTTCTGCCAAACGCGACTCGGACGACGTTGGCATTCCAACCACTTTCAACTAGTCTGGAAATCATCTCCTCCACGGTTTTTTGTGGGATGTGTTTTCTTGACCCGATGGTGCAAGCCCGTGTGCTTTTGGCTATGTTTGGCATTAGCTTCACCGTTTTGAAAATGTTTTTGGTTTCAGTTTTTTCAAAATTGATCTGCATTATTAACATATTATTCAAAATGCGCGGGTTCCCGTCGACTACCCATGGGGGGACTACCGTGGCACCTACAAGGAAGATTGCGAGGGGAGGCGAGCAGAGCTACAAAGATGTGGTGGATCGGGGTGATATCCGTCAGCGCCTTCCTGGTCCACTTTGCGAAGACTTGGGTTCCTGGTTCTGGTTCTGGTTCTGGTTAGACTTGGGTTCCTGGTTCTGGTTAGAGTTGGGCTTCCTCTCCGAAGGGGACTCACCGTTGCCGACCTTTTTTTTATTTTTATTAATAATTTTGTTTGGTCAACAGTAAAATTTTAATGAGTACGTCTTTCAACACGAGATTTTGCTTTTAATTAAACTAATTCTAGCCATATACTTCTTCCGTGTCTCGTACTTATTTAGTTTTAATTTTTTTGTAACTATAAAAGAATTTACGAGAAATAAGAATAACATATAGAGAAAGTACAAAAATAAGTATTACGTATTTCATATTTTTACTTTCAAAATAAGAATTTACGTTGTAATAATATGACATTGTATATTAGTTTTTTTGTAATATTTTTTGGTATTATATATTGGTATTGTATATGTATTTTAACTCATATTTTGAGGATAAAAATATAGAATTTTTATTTTGGTAAAATTCTATGTTTTATTCTCTTTTAATCCTTTTCCTAATTAAAATAGATAACTTTGGTCACTAATTAAATAAAATTGGTATTAGTTATCCTAATTAATAGCTTTCAAAATATTACTTTTTCATATAATTTTTATTTAATTCGAAATCAAATCTAAAAAATGATTAACAACAAAAAGTAAAAAATGAACAAATATTCAAAGACAACGACAATCATCCGTACTTTTTTTTAATTACAATTTTTAAATTTAAGAAAATCAAATTGAATATTTCCTCCATCTCATATCTTATTCCAAATTGAATATTTCCTCCCTCTCATATCTTATTCGAACTCGTAAATTATAAAAATAATAAATTGAATTATGTTGTAAATTTAAGACCAAATGATTTGTTTTGAAATACAATCGTGAATTTTTATGATATAAATCTTTATTAAAAATCTAAATATCAATGTTAAAAAAAATATGAGACCCGAGGCAATAAAAGTTAGGAATGTGTGTATGTTTTAATTCCCTCCTACTTCGGCTTTGTTTGGTAACAGCGTTTTTGATTAGCGTTAGCATTTTGAATAAAATTTTAATGATGCAGATTAATTCTGAAAACGCTAACTCAAATCTGATGCCAAAAAGGCCTTCATGCCGGCGAGTTAACTCAGTAGTCATACAAACTTTTTGAGCGCCACAAACTTTTCTTGGCATCTACGAAGTACACAAGCTCGGCGAGCTTCTTTCCGTTCTTCCCATTTTCTCTTTCGCCCTCAAAACTCTTTCCCACTTCATGCCGGCGATTTAACTCAGTCTTGCAACAAAAATGGAGGCGTGATCAATGTTCGACTCAGTAAACTGATTCCGCCCGGCGTTTTGGTCCAGGGGATGCCGTCGGGGTGTAGGATGCCGACGTGGCGAGAGCGGGAGAACAACAAACGGCGAGAGCGGCGGCGGAGGGCCATTGCGGCCAAAATATTCGCCGGACTCAGACTGTACGGAAACTACCGCCTCCCCAAGCACTGCGACAACAACGAGGTCCTCAAAGCCCTCTGCCACGAGGCCGGCTGGACCGTCGAGCCCGACGGAACCACCTATCGGAAGGTACATTTATGTTTTCTCAGTTATTGCTCTGTAAATCTGCGTTCAGATCGAGAATTGATCTTTCAATTCTCAGATGCTGATGAAAAGTATTCCGGCAAATTTTTTCAAATTGCCACTTTAATCTGCTCTGCTACTTCGATTTCATGGCCGATCATCTCTCCATCTCTGCTAATTTTCGCGAAATAACCGCGTATGCGGTTGTATCACGGGCCGAATCGGCGATCGCCATTGTTGGCTCAAGTTAGTCGGTGTTCCCATGGCGCAACTTAGCAGATGCCCCTATGATAAGTTACGCTTCTTCGTGAGGGAGTCATCCCGGCGAGTTCTCGAAATGTGACTGTTAACGTGCGCCGGCTACGTGTGGTACGGTACAAAACGATCTTCTCAACGATTGGTGTTTGTTGAGACTTGAGATTGGCTTACTACATACAGAGTACAAAACGATCTTAATTAGACTTTTGATTATAATTTTATTTTTCTCCTTCTTTTCGATAACTTTGGTTTGTATTTATTTTTCATTGATTATTTGATAAAATAAAATATTATTGTCAATTTTTATTTTACGAAATTTTTGATATAATTTGTCAACATATAATTTTTATTTCTTATTGATGTACCAATTTGTAAATAAAATGATTTAAAAAATCATGAGATTTCTTATGACCTCGCCAAAGATTACACAACCATGTAACTTTTGGATTAACTTTCAACTTTTCAAAATGCTAAACTTAAGATTAAGCAAAAACAAAAAAAAAACAAAAAACCAAGATATTTGTACAAGAACAAAAAAAATCTCCCTATATTTTCAAAGAGGAAAAAGGTAAAGATTTTGCAATTTACTCTCCAAAATCTTCTTGGGATTCGAAAGATCATAGTACCCTTTTAGATTGATCTTTTTCCAATTTCTTTTTTCCAGATTACAACCACATGAGCATAATTTAATTTTGAAGTCTCTTTTCCATCTTTTCCTATCATAAATTTGGTGCAAGCATGCTTTAAGGTCAATTGCCTTTGCTTTTTACTATTTTCATCATTTGCAAGAGTTTACCCTTTTCTTTCCCCCTGTTTCTTTAGTCCCCCCCAAAAAAAAAATCTGTACCTTTTTTACCCTTGCCACTCTTGTGAAACTTTATTTTGCATGACTTTGATGCACTATTGGGAGGTTCATTATTTGGGTCACGCTGTACAATGTCAATGTGAATAGAAATGAGAAGTGAAAAAAATGGCTTTCAGAAATACTTGTCCTTTACCTGTTTTTTGGTGCCTTGTCCTATTATTATTAGTATTACATGTGCCGTTCAATCATTATTAAGGCATTGATCCCCGAACGAGGCACCTGCCCATTCTAATTTGGCTAAAATGCTATACAGGGCGAAACCAAGTAATAATTCTAAGTTCTAGTACATCTTAATTAACCCAGATTCCCAGAATGTGTGTTCCATTAAGAGTGAAGTGATCATTTCCAATGTCACATGTGGTTTCAAGTACTTCAAAAAAGGTTTTTGGATGTTTTGTCTTTATGTTCTTGATTAGTAATATCCATTATCCAATACTCTCATGCTATGATTTGATAAATTGTTTTTGATCTATTGGTTCATCCATATTCTTGATCTCCTAGTTCCCACTACTTGAACTCACCATTTAACTCCAATTTCCACTCTTTTATTTGGTTGTTTCATAAAGTTTCACAATTCAATTTCATAGAGAGAACTATCCTCTCTGGAATGTCAATTTTACCCTATGTAGTTCTATCCCTACCTAGTAAATCGAATCTATTTCAGGGACATTATGGGAAATTAACTACAAAAAATTATGTGAAAATCTATCCCAAACATGTTTGAGGGACAAAGGGGAGTATTTTACCAAGTAGAGATTTATGATGGGATTTAGCTCTCAATTCAAGGTTTTATGGTATATAATATCCCACTGTATATTATTGTATGTGCTGCTGGTAGCATTAGTTTTTGGATTGGCACAGGGGGAAGGCAGAAAATGTCTCTAACTTGGCATTAATTATATTAGGAGATTATTTTCATGGATAAATTGCCATTTACTCCAGTAATAATAATTGGCACAAGTGTTTCAAGTCAGTTTATTAGTTTACTGTGTTGATCATGAATTGTAGGGATGTAAACCTGTGGAGAAAAGCATGGATTTTATAGGGTGCTCTATACTGCCTAGCCCATGTTCCTCTTACCAGCCAAGCCCATGCACTTCTTACAACCCAAGCCCATCCTCCTCCTCCTTCCACAGCCCAGCTTCTTCCTCTTATCATGCACCCCCTAATTACAATGTCAATCTTGAAGGGAATAATAGTTCCCTTATCCCATGGCTCAAAAACCTCTCCTCCTCCTCCTCCTCCTCCTCCAAGTTTCCTCATTACTACTTCCATGGAGGAGGCTCCATTAGTGCTCCCATCACCCCTCCCATAAGCTCCCCAACATCCCGGACCCCGACAACGACAGGCGATTATTATTCGAATTTCATCCCTTCTCTGATACATTCTCCAACTTACTCTCTCCTCTCCCACAACCCGACCGGCTTCACGGCCCGGCCTATCTTCCCCCGCGCCTCGACTCCCGGACAGATGAGCGGGACGTGTTCGCCCGTCGTCGTTACTTCCTCCGACGTTCCGATGGGTGACATCGTGCGGGACGAGTCAGCATTTATTGGGACGACGATGGGGCTCGTGAAGCCGTGGGAAGGGGAGAGGATTCACGAGGAGGGCGGTCCGGATGACCTCGAGCTTACTCTTGGCAGCTCTAAGACCAGGTTTGTCATCATCAGATCACCACCACCCTATTACGTCTTACCTAGCTAGCTCTCCCCTACATTGCTTCTCATTCTCATTTGTAATTGTCCCCAAAAAGAAAGAGTAACTCCATCTTCTAATTTCTAAACAAATTAATTTCATCTAAATCTACTCATGCAAATCTTTACTTCTCGACATATTTTTTTGAACTCTGTAAAATCCAAATTTTTTTGACGGGGAGAGTATAAGTTAGGGGTATATACCCTAGAGAACCTAACAGTAATTGATGTTTTGCATATTTAGGTGAAGGAAGCCGGATCGAAGAAGAAGGAAACCGAATCCCTTTAGAAGTCGGGTCGAAGAAGGAAACCGAATCCCTTTGAGATTCAGTTTAGTATCTTTTCTAGTTTGTTTAATTCTTATTTAAATAGGAATAGAAATTTTCTAATTTGTTTCAGTCTCTTTCTATATAAAGAAGATTAGATCTTTGTATTCAGAAGCCAATTTCAATATACAAACTATTTTCTCTCTTATTAATTATTTCTACATATAACAAACACATTTATTCATCTTATATACTCCGTAATTTCGGAATATATAATTGAGTGAATCTTGGATGATGAGATCATTTAAGCAACAACACGAGGGGTTAGAATCAAGCAGAGCGGATTCCTTCTTTCAACCGCAACTCCAGGCTTCTCTGT